AAGCGAATGCTTAGTCTCAGAGATGAGAGTCTTAAAAAGAATAGATTAAAGCCCAAAAAGAAAAAAAAGGAAGATTCCAGTGCACTTAAGGAAAGAGAAGCACCCCCCGCCAACATCCTTCCTGTTTCTTCTTCTAATATAATGCTCAGCTGGGCCCACCTTACTAACTTTATCATTTTTAATCAATTTTTCCATTAAAGTCAAACTGGACTTAGTACAGTCAATGATGGACTGTTTGTATGCCAAGTGTATCCTTGTATAACTAAGTGCATAATGGCCGAATTGAGAAGTTAGGGCAGAAGTACCTAGTGGCTCTAAGGATCACCAAGGATCCATGATTTGAATGATTACCATGTACACATAAAGGAACCTACACAGAAGACTGCTTAGTACAAAGAGTAACTCAGCACAAGTGTTACATTATAGCCACAGTTGACACTGACCGTCAGTGAAGAATCTGAAAGATCCCTGGAGTTCCTATCATGTACATTACTAACCACAGATACAATATGGAGCAGATGCCAGGGGATTATGGAAACTCTCGTTTCCAATTCTTACAAGATAAAGTTCCTCTGCCTTCCTTGGACCAATGTTCTCTGTTGCCAGTTCATTAAATATGCTATAGCATGAATTATTATTCTATCCATGCATTTGCTCTATTATAAGCTAAGTATGGTCAAATACATTTATACTTTTTGATGCTTAAAAAAAAAAAAGAATGCCACCAAAGTTATTCTACTCCCTTCTTTTTCCCTGGCATCAATCTGATTGTGGTAAATTGTAAGACAGTGAAATGAATATAAGAAGTAAGTAAAGATCTGGTCTCATTTTCTAAGGATCAAAGAATTTACTTTTAAAAATGTTTTATTAGCATATATTAATTTTACAAAAGGATTTCACCATGGAGTTTACATACATGTATACACTGTACTTTGATCAGATTAACTCCCTCTATTGCTCTTTCTTTTTCCCCATCCCTCTCCCCGAGTTATTAACAGTTTTTAGTGCCATCTTCATACATGGATATAGTATTTTCATTTGTTTGTTTTGCTGGTACTGGGATTTGAACTCAGAGCCTTGTGCTTGCTAGGAAAGTGCTCTACTACATGAGTCACGCCCTCAGTCAAGAATAAAGTTTTTTACTGTCCCTAAAATACAAAGAATCTAGGTTCACCTGATAAGTTTTTGTTTGGTGCTTTGCCTATCCCATGACTGTGTATTATATTAGCCTCACACTTTCATATTATACCAGAGGAAATAAACTATATGGGGGTCAGCAAATTCATTTTCTCAATAATCTACAACAAATTAGTTACAGGAATAAAACTTCGATTTGTAATTCCTGTGCTTTAAAATACTTCAGGATAGCATATATAGGTATGGTAAACCCCATATAGATAAAACAAGATTGGCAAAATGTTGGTAATTATGGATCCAGTTGATTTGTATATGAGGAACTCATTACATTATTTTCTTCTGTGTATATGTACAATTTTTTGTAATATAATTAACTTTCTGGGAAGAATCAAGGCTGATTAAAGAACATCATCAGGTGCTACTCTTACTTTAAAAGGCATGGAAAGCAAGCTATTCCAGGCTTTCCAGCCAAAAGAAGAAATTCATACTTGACCTCTTCTTTGTCACTACCCTAACATCAGTACCCTTTTTGTAGACCCTATAATTTGCTTTCTTATTTCTACAATTCATTGCTGCCAAGTGGTCTGCTCTGCACCGGAAGGCTTGCAACACTCTTCCCAGACTGCATGCAATGATGGGGCCTCCCAAATGACAGGGCTCCTTTATTATGCTGTCACTTTATTATGGGTCTAATTAGGCTAGAAACACCTTTAATTAGCATGGGCTAATAAAATCAACTTATGACTCAGAGATATGATTACTGGTGTAACCCACATTTGCTCCTCTTCATCATCATTATCATGCTCATCAGATGTTCTTCAAATGCAGCTTTTTAAAGTTTTGTGAGGTTTTTTTTATTATAATCACAAAATTCTTCAGAAGATCAATAGTACTGATAGTATTGTGAAATATAGAAGGTAATGCTTCACTGGCCAGCTTTACAGGTAGCATACCCTTAAGTGAGCACATCTTATTTCATTCTCATATGTATGTTATATATATATTTATGTATGTATATGTTGGTGGTACTAGGGTTTGAACTCAGGACCTTGCACTTACTAAGCAGGCATTCTCCCAGTTGAACCACACCCCTAGCCCTTTTTGCTTTATTTTTGAAATAGTATTGTGTTTTTGTGGGGTTTTTTGCTCAGGCCAACCCAGTGATCCTCCTACTTACACTTCCTGCATACCGGGATTACAGGTGTGCACTACTATGTTGTTGTTGAGAGAGGTCTTGTTGATTTTTTGCCTGGGATGACCTCAAATCTTGATCTCTCTAATCTCCATCTCATGCATTACAGGCATAAACCACCTTGCCTGGCTTATTCTGCCTTAATTTTGAAAATTAGGTCATTCACAACCTTTTAAAAAATATGTAAATGATCCCACTGAAGATATTTTAATTATAGAATTTGATAGAAGCATTCTGAGATGCATGTGTGTACACTCAACCCTTGATATCTATGGGGGATTGGTCCCAGGATGCCCTAGAATTCCAAAATCTGCAGATGCTGAAGTCCCAAACATAATCTTCATAGTATTTGCATATAACTTATATACATCCCCCCACATACTTTAAATAATCTTTGGATTACTTATGACACCTAATGTAATGTACAGGCCATGTACCTAGTTGTTATATTACATTGTTTGGGGAATAACAAGAAAGAAGTTTATACATGTTCAGTACAGACACAATTTTTTTGCAAATACTTTTGAATATGTGGATATGGAAAGTTTGCCATATATATATATATATATATATATATATATATATATATATATATACACAGAAGTCTTCATATACATATTATATATACTGTGCACATCATATATGTAAATATAAATGTATATATGTTATAAATTGGTTCCATGAATCTTTGTGGGATTTGTGGACAGGCTTTTGGGAAATCTCTGAAGTCCCTGAAGCTATATAGAAAATTGTGTCATTTGTACCTCTGTGTGTATTTTTGTGATAGAAAAATAATGCATGACTTCCATTTGATTCTCAACATGGTCCATGATCACCCACCCAATGTCAAAATCGAAAACAAGGAGCCCATGCTATAGAAGCTTGACTGTCCAGTACCATAGACACTAGCTATTTGTGGCTACAGAATGGCCTGAAAAGCGGTAATGTGAGTTGAGTTGTGCTAGAAGTATAAAATAACCACACTGGATTTTCAAAAATGAATCAAAGAATTTCTATGAAAGATAGAATGCAAATTACCTCAAGGGTTAGCACTTTGATTACATGCTAACTATTATCTGGAATATGAGTTAGCTAAAATATGTTATTAGCATTAGTTTAATCTGCTTCTTTTTGCTGTTGCTAATGTGGTTAGTAGAAAAGTTAAGATTCCCTATCTGGCTCACACTATATTTCTACTGGGTAGCAGTGGTTTGGGATGTTGAAGCTTGCCCACAGACAAGCTGATTCTAGGAGGCTCCTACTAGCAAAAAGTTTTTATAATAGTTCTAATGGAGGTTTTAGCAAAAATCTCAAGCTATGTCTAATCTAATGCAATAATGGTGCTAAAAGCATAAATTTAAGCTATTTTTATTCAAGTAGTCCAGCATAATTTCCCTTAGAGAATCATGAATTTGGAAGGGAAAGTTTGATGTCAACTCTATATCAGACTTGTCACCCATACTTCCAAATAATTTACGTGCTGTATTTTGATAAGAATCTTGGGTCAAGGATAACGCAAAGCAAATTTTCCTCTTAGCACATCAATACAATGGTCCCTAAATTTAAAAATCACAATGTAATGGAAATATTCATGAAGAAATACCTAAAAGGAAATTGTAATTCCCAATGATTGATAGTATATGCACATGGCATCTTTATTTATAAATCTATTTATTTCTTACCAATCATTAATATAGTTCCTATCACCCCTATTTTACAGATGTGGAGACAGGGTCAAAATGATTGACTCATTACCATTTGAGAAGAACTCTGTGTTGTTCTCCACTGCGTACTTGAAGGCTGGCACAAAGCAGATGCTCAGTAAATGCGCCTTTCCTGATGAGCAGCTTCCTGCCTCCAACACAAGGTTCCCAGCTCCAAACAGTACCAGATCACCACAGCTAGGCTTCTCACAATACCGCAACCTGAGAGAGCTGTACCTAATCAATTTTTTGAAATTCTCACCATAAGTCGCTAAGTTATAAATACTTTTCCTCTTTGTCAGCAAAACTTTTGTGCTTTTTTTGGAAAGCAATCTAATGTTAAATCATGCTTCCTGGTTGCAAAACATTACATGTGCCAGCTTGACTGGAAATCACAACTATGTGATTAGGACACTCAAATGCACTTAACAAATGGAACATGTTTGTCCCTCATCAGCGACACCTCTCCGCCTCCACCCCCCCTCAAAGGTTTTGATCTCTGATAATTCTTGGGTTTCTTGGTGTTCCGGCTTTCTTCTTGCCAGCCCCCTTTCTCCTCCCTTGCATTTGATATTGCACGTCCCACAACCTCGGTAAAGTTTTGAGCTTTATTGAGGTGTTGAATACAAACTTTCGATCTGGGCTCTGGTGCCTTGCATCCGAGTTCCTCCAGGAACCCGCCTTTAGGGCCGGCATTCCTCCAGCCACACTTGCCGTTGCATTCAGCCAGCGAGCGCGAGCTGGGTTTGGTGCATCTGCTAGCGCGGACTCGCTCCCGGGGCGCGCTCGCATACCACAGGAGGGTGAGCCTCCGGCCTCTCCCCGAGCCCAACCTGGTCAGCGAGGAGGTCGCACCGCTCCCCACCCCTGCCCCACCAAACCTCCGCAGTATTTCGTCGCACGCTCAGAAGTGCAAAACAAACACACTCCCTTCCCAGTCCTGCCCAGGCTCCACCGCGTCTAATTACCGTCTTATACCACCAGCTTGCGAATGCCATGGCGACACCGACTTGTTCCGAGCCGCGAGGCGATGGACCCGGCGAGGACGCGGGGAGCGGTGCTAGAGGACGCGGGGACCACAGGCTGTCTGGCTGGGACCTGAGGGCACTGAGCTCTGGGGAGCCACAGCTGCCAGGTGGGCGGCACCGGGGGAGGGGCCTCAGGCCCCGCCCCCACCCGCCGGGCCCCGCCCCCGGGTTTGGCCGCCAGCTAGTTAGGGAAGAGGTGTTCTGCAGGCAGCCACGCCCTACGGCCCCGGACCCACACGGAAGACCCGCGGTCCTGGGCAATGAACCCCTCACTCTGGGGCTTGGGGGGCGGGGAGCGCAGAGTGACCTGTATTCTTCTTCCACGCTTATCCACCTTGTACCCCTGTCTCACCGGCCAGCTTTTCTTCACGCACCCCTCCACCCTGCCCGCGCCACGACCAACGCACTTGAGCCAAGCGCAGGAATCCCCAGCCACCCTCTGCCTGCGAGGGCCCTGAGCCCCCTTCCGCGACGGGGGAGTGGGGGGCGTCTAGGGGGGCAGGCCCGGCAACTCCCAAGGAAGGAGGCCCGCCCCTGCACGTCCGGGATCCCTCCATCGCCCAGCTCCGCGGCTCGCTCCGGAGCGCCACTCACCTCCTGGGTGTGGCGGGCTGCCGCCGCGCGCCGGGGCCGAGGAGAGGCTGCGGGCTTCTGGCCCGGCTGGGACATGGCGAGGCCGCTGCGGGTGCAGCCTCCGAGAAAGCGCAGCGGAGACTGCTAGGGAGGCTCGGGCGGGGAGCTGGGCAGGGAAGGGGAGGAGGGAGCGGGGCCCAGTGAGGCAGCTTTTCCGACCCAGCCCGGAGCCCGCGCCCCACTCCCCCTTTGCCCCGCTGGGCCCTCCCCTTCCTGCCCGTTGCAGGCTGTAGCCTCGCTGTAGCTGCCCTGGGCTCTGGGCCTGAAGTTTAACACCCTCCGCCCGGATCGATCGGCACCCACCCCGGGTCCCAGGATTGCTCGGATCCTCCTGGTCAGAAAGAGGGGGAGCTGGAGGTTTCAGGGTTCTTTGGACTTCTTAATGGTACCACCGAAGAGCTGGATCCGGGCGTGGCCCGCCTATGCTTCCACCCTCCCTCCGCCCTAAGAATCTGGAGAATTAGACACTTTTTCTGCAGTCTACCCTGTTTTAACTGATTTAGTTTACTAACTCAAATCTGACCCAGGCTTGAACAGTCTAGATGAGGAAGCAGAAGATAAAAACAAGTTGGTCTGTGTGTGTCTGTGTGTGCATGTGCCTATATATGTTTTAGGTCCTTTTACTTTATTGTTTTGGCTGGTTTGAAAGTTTAGTAATGCTTTTTGGGCAGGAGGCCAGTAGGTTCCACTCTAATCCCAAGAATCGTCCCAGATTTAAGCCCGTTTATCATTTCTTGGGTCTGGTGGTTTTTGTTTCTGAGACTGGATTGCTTTTGTCTTAGGCTCATCTGAGACAGCACTTCCTGGTTTGGGATTGGAAGTGAAATTTGACAAGACTTACTGGAAATGCTCATCTGGAGAGGCTGTCAGCCTGTTGTTGCTGGTGCGTGATCAGACAAGACAGAAAAACCTGTTGCCCTGCAATCAATAGCTTTGTCATTTGGGGTCATGGCTTTGTGAGTGTTTTACACAGTTGAAGACTGAGAAGATTGAATTGTAGGGAAAGATTTGCCATGCTATCTGGTTTGACCTTATCCCCTCAATTGTAGAAATTCTGACTTCCCTTTCAATTGTAGAAATTCTGACTTCCCTTTCCTCAGAAATAAGCTGGCAGCATTCTTAATTGGAGGTGGGTAGATTTACTACATTTGTCCTTAAATGTTCTACTTAAAATCTATGTGTCTAGCATGACAACAAACAGGCTGCCATGCAGGAATATATACATAAAAATGGGGGAAAAACTTGGATGAAAAGTGTGTTATTGTCCATTTAGGCAAAATTGATTGGTAGCATCAGTTACATTAAGAATAGGGAAAATATCTCATTAGATTGAAAAGACTGTCCTATGATTCTGACCAAACTACTGCAGTAATTTTAAAAACAGAAAAGTGCCAACTATGGTGGATCATTTCTGTAATCCCAGCTATGCAAGGGGCAGAGATCTGGAGGACAAAGGCTCCAGGCCAGCCAAGACAAAAAGTTAGCAAGACTCCCATCTCGACAAACAAGCCAGGCATGGTGGTGCACCTCTTTTATCCCAGCTACGTGAGAGATGCAAGTGCAAGGATCTTAGTCAGAGGTCAGCTCCTGGCAAAAAATGGAAGACCCTACTTGAAAATAAAAGAGCTTGGGGCATGGCTCAAGTGGTATAGCACTTGAGGCCCTGAATTTAAACCCCAGTACCACCAAAAAACAAAACAAAATAACAAACAAAAATTATTGGGTTGAAGAGGGTGGTAGACAGTTTTTCCTCCCAGCCTCCACCTCTAGAACTTAAACAATTTTCTTACTAGGGAGCTTAGGCATCCCAGAATCAAGATTTTAGAACCCTAAAGTACATTATTCTAATTCTGGAAAAAGAGTGATTCCCATTAACTTGGTGATATTAAAATGTGAAGTGTTTTTCAACAGAGTATTTAAAATTGAATTTAAATTTGTTTGTATCTTGAGCATCTTCTATGTAAAGCAATGTGAAAGGAGTAGTAGATGGAGAAAGGTAAAGAATAAAAAAGAGGCAGTCTTGGTCTTCCAGGGACTTGCAGGTTACCTGCACTCATATGGCATTTGTAACACATGATTGCTTGGGTGACACTGAAAAACGTACAGTTTTATGTGACTAAGTGCTCAGAAGTTTGGGGTTCCATGGGTGTTGTTGATTATAGGATGGAAAAGGAGAATTGAGCAGAGTGGCTGGCTGGTGGGATATGAACAGAAGAAGGGGTGAGTGCCCTCGGGAGATAAAGAGGAACCCACCCCTGGCCAAGGATCTTTGTTCAGAATCAACCAGTCCCTTTGTCTACCCATTATTTGCTGAGTAGATACATTCTTCCATGTGATACACTGGATAAAAAAGTCTGTAAGAACAATTCTAGCCCTCAGGTTTGGCTTCTGGTTCTGACTCTTACAGAGTCAGAACTCGTATAAGCGTAATGTTTGCTGACAGTGCATTAATGACTGTGATGAATAAAGAAGAATCTCAAGTTGAAGAAGTGAAGTTATTGGAAACTTGACACCATGGACTAGCATTTGGGAGTCTTAGGGAAGCTCCTTTTAAATAAGATAGATGATAGACAGACAGATAGATTTTGCTACATTTATGTCTGCACACATTGTAAACATTTATTCTTAAAAAAAAAAAAAAAAACCTCAGTAACAGTTTCCTGTTATGAGGAGGTATCAGAGACCTCCCATGCCCAAGTATTTTATAGTCCAGTAAGAAAAACAAAAAAATACATCTACAATCACCTTCACCTGCTCATAGTATAAGGGCAAAGGCATCAGAGGTATTTGGAGAGTAGTGTAAGATCTGATAAGAGGCTTCTTACTTTCATAGATGGAGGGGTGGGCTGTGTGGGAATGGGACTCAGAGAATGATTCCTACCCCATGTTTGACTGAATGTGTTGAAATCCCCTCCTAGTAATCTTCACATTTTACCTCTCTTCATCCCCAGTGCTTCTGATCATGTTCAGAAACTCATCGGTTCTCATCAACAAATGTGTAAAATGAGCAAAAGAAAGACAGAATGGAGCCCAGAAGAGGAGAGACCAGTAGAGCCTAAAAAGAAGCTGCAGGGGGCAGAAGGAAATTGGCAGAAAAGTAGGTGCCAGAGGCCAAGGGAAGAAGGCCTTCTAAAAGAAAGGGCTGTTCACAATATGGACCATATACTCATAAAAAAAATGTAACCTAAAGGTTGAATCAGACAGCATAGGAAGAATGTCCATTCAGTTTGACAGCTGAGAGTTGTATGATTATTCAAACAGTAGGAAAATTTGAGAAAGATTTTTTCTGAGGTGCCCACAGTTGCTGGGGAAGGGCAGTCCCTTCCACTTTGGGAAGTACTTATTTCAACATCATCATACATCCCAGGAAGAGAATCTCTCCTAGAAAATCTGAACCTTCTAGCTGACATCCAGTGCCCTCCAATTTCACTGAAACGTACCTGCTCTATTTGCCATCTTTCAGCCGATTTTGGTTCACTCCATCGCCATTTTTCCCTAAACAGACCAGGAAAAGGCAGAATCTTTTTAAATAGGGAAAGGCTAGTTCCCAAAGTAAGCAAAGCTCTCACCTCCCCTCCCCCCACACACAGTTTTTTTGCCCTGTGCAACATGCATGGAACTAAATAGGAGCTTCATACTTCTGACAGTTGAATTACTCAAAAGCATGGCTTCAGTGGTGAATTTTGTGCATGAAGACATGCCTTTGTTGGAGAGTACGCTTAGTCCATAGGGCTCTTGTGGTACTTCTCAGATCACACGAAGCTTGTGCATGGATGCAGGTGTGGTCAAGAAAGGGGGAAGAACTGAGATGGGCTGATAGAGGAACAAAGGAAGAAGAGAAGAAAGAGGGACCAAATAGCATATGAAGTTATTTTTAATTTGCACTGCTGCCAAGCAAGAACTTGAGTCATGCACCTACCTATAGCTAATCCCTCGAGATTTTATTGCTTGTAATTTATGCCCAATTTCCCTTAAGATAGTAAAAGACCAGCAAAATACCATCACACCCTACATTTCCTGCTTCTTATCTCTAGAACCAGAGGACCAAGATTGCATCTCCTTTTCGGGAGTGTACCTGTGGAAGGGAAGGGAAAGAAGGCGAAGCAATGGGAGAAGTTGAGCTAGAATGCAGATCCATGTGATGCCTCAGACAACCTTGCAGGGAGCTGTAATGAGACAGTTGGGAAGAAAACTCTGGGCCTTTATATGCCTGTGCCAACCAGTCATTGGATATGGTTTGGGGTTGGAGGGTGGGAAGAGCATAATCTTAGCAGAAGAAGGTCACTCTCTGAAGCTGTAGCAATCAGCAAAAGGGGTCTGACAGATGAGGTCTGTCTGCTGATGGCACTCTTGGGAGCAAGGGAAAGGACTCTTATTGCTGAAGGGGATCAGGGTGGTTTACTGTATCTGTTATACTACTCAGTGCTGTATAACACCATAAAACTTTGCAAATAGAACAGAGGAGGGAGTGAACATTGCAAAAGCATGCTGTCAAACTGCTACATAACAGGACATTAAAACTGAAAGTATTACCCATTTAATTAAATTTCTTCCCACTTTGCAATAATGCTTGCCTTCAAGAGGGCTCACTGAAGAATAATTTGATACATAGAGCAGCCATGCTGTTAATATAACTGTCTAGAGATACAGAAACAACAACTTTACAAAAGTGAATTGCTAAAAATGATTATAAAGAAAATTATGTAAATATAATTTTCATTTTCCTAATTTTGTCTAGGGATGGTAAAACAAAATAAAGAATGCCCCTTATGACAGGGAAGCTTAGGGTACCTCCTGCTTACCAGAAAGCCATAAGGGCCTTCTCCCTATCTTCTGCCTGCTCTTAATTTTCCTGAGGCTTGGTTTTCCATCCTCCGTGGTATGGGGTTTGCTTGGGAGAATTCATCTCTCAACAGTCTGTATCCTTTGCTGGGTCAGCTACTAAATCCTTTGCTGGGTCAGCTACTAACTAACACTGTGTAGACCATCCTGCTTCGTTGTTTAAAGGACTGATGGGTCCCAGGTGCCAACAGGGT